GTTGAACTTCTTTCGGACCGTGCATAGCCAACCGTGCCAATATGGGGTGCCCAATGTTGCCCCAATGCTCCATATTTACTAGGAATAGACTGCAAATGAATATTGTATTCTAAATTTGAAGTTTTCGTGACTGCAAGGATCCATACTCTTTGGTTCTTTCGGTAAAGTCACGTAGGTAAAAATTAAATTAAATAAAACAAAAATGAAAACAACTAAATTAAATCACGACCCGAAATGTCGTTTCGACCCGAAACGTCGTGATTTACTTTGGTTGTTTTCATTTTTGTTTTATTTTATTTAATTTCATTTAATTTTTACCTACGTGACTTTACCAAAAGACCCAAAGAGTATGAATATTGTATTGTCATGATGTTAATTATTGGTAATTGTGTGGCCCTTGAGAGAGCGTTCAGTCATTGTAAACCACGGCTTGTGATTTTAGTTTATTTTGGAATAAAAGTTTTTTTTTAAAGAGTCTCATCGAGAAAACCTCTTGGGTTATTTGTTCTGTTTTTCTGTTCGCTCGCATCTTTTTTTCTTCTTTATTGTGTGTCCTACGTTTTTTGTCGAGTAGTTCAAAGTAGCATTGCTGTTAAAATATAATGCACGAGCAAATACCGCATTACCCCCCCCCCCCCCCCCCCGTTAGCATCAGAGATTGTGCAATGTTTATTCTAAATTCCTCACGACTTCACTTTTATCCCGAGCGCAAGTACAATGTATACGCGGAGTCGTATAAACGGCTCAAAGACCACCGCCGAACGTTATCGGGGACGCTGATTATAGTGATGGAATATTTATTTTAAGTCGAGCGTGTAATATTTGTCTTTGGGCGCAAACAAAACAAAATCGAGGCCATTAATCACAACGCCTAATCTCGCAAAGATAAACGCGGCGAAGCAAATGTAAAAGAACGGAACGCTTCGCCACATGAGACGTCATGTGATGGAGACTACGGGTCATCTCACCTCCGTGCATTAACCAAACCACTCTCCCCCCCCCCTTTTGGGGTGGGTGGGTGGTTGGGTACGGGGTCCAGTCAAACGTTTCCGTGCCCTTCATTCATCTCGTCGATGCTGCCGCTCGCTCCGAACGTCGGTAACAGTGATTAGATTAGCACGTGGGAGACAAAGAATTGGGGCTTCCGTAGTAATCCGAGCGTTCGAGCTGTATTGTAGCATTTTGTCAACGCGCTAAAGGACCCCGAGAATGGTGGTGGGTCGTATTGTCCGACAGCTTCGGTGTGTTGCATGAGCTGCCACAGCTCCTCGCTTAAAAATGTTCCGCTATCAAAAGCGCTCGCTCCGAGGTTGGGTCCGCGTGTGTGCGGTGCCGTGGTGGGTTTGCAACGGCGCTTTGGTTTTTTTTGTTGTTGCTGTAATCAGAGTTTACAAAAGCCCTCGTCGCCAGATTCCAAACACCTGCTCCGTTAGAACCGCCGGGCCTGCTGATTATTTGTATAATTATAGCAAGCGCTCGGGGGTAAATGGATTCAAAAATGCGTGGGAAACTTACCCTAGGCGTCTCGTAAACCAAAAACAAAAGCCACAAGTCCCGTCGCGAAGTGAGCACCCGACGGAAGGCGATTGATAAACGGTGGCGGCTCCTCGCCAGATGAAAAGTAAAAGGCCCACGGACGCTCCGTCGAGTTAAACTCACTCGGGGAAGAAAACTGTGCTGACAGCACTTATCAAAATACGAGATATCTGCGACGACGGTGGACGTATTCCCGTGTAGATGCGCGCGCCCATATCTCTTACGGTATCGGTTGACGCGCGCATATTCAGCTGCCTTCTCTGGGGGCGGGGGGGAGGGTGGCTTTGGCTGGGGCGCTACTTTTAGAAATCACTCCAAGGTAGGAATTTAGAACACAGAAGTGTATCTGTCACGCCGCGCCTAATCCCCCATTCCAAGAAGCAGCGCCCCGCATGCCAAGCAGCAGCTTTACAGCTGTTTACGTTGCGCGGGCTACAACTCGACCACGACCCCCCATCGCCGTGTGACCCCCCCCCCTCTCTCCTACCACCACCGCCTCCTTCACCACCCCACCAACCCCAAAATGCCCCACAGCCAACCCCAGCGTGACCCCCTGGCCGCCCCCGCACAGGACGTTAACGTCCGGCCGGGCGATGTGGGGAGGGGGACGAGGCTTTTGCTGGTGGCCGAAGCGGACGCACGGTGGCTGTCACATGAGCGCTGCTGCTGCCGACGACGATGATGATGATGGGACAAACACTGGTGTCCAGACGACAACATTTAGGAGATGCGAGCGCGGGACGGGGCCGTGTCTGCAAACTAATAATAATAATACTACGCCCAATCGGCACCGGCTTAATCCGCGAGGGAGCGTGGCCATTGACAGGGGTCACACGGGGAAACATTGCGTGGTTGATGGTGGCAGGCACTCGGTCGTCTCTTTTTCATCATCCTCATCACCACCACGGCCTGGGCCGTCCCGGGGTCGTCAGTTGACGTGAGGAGCTGAGGTCTGGGAGGAGGCAAAGGTGGTGGAGGAGAACTCTCGCCTTGGTGGTGGTGGTTAGGTGGTGGCGGCGGTGGTTTGGTGGTGGTGGTGGTGGTTTGGTGATGTTTTTATTGTGGTGGTTTGTTGGTGGTGGTGGTTTGTGGGTCGATCGATGCCTCGCTTCGTTCATTGGTGGCGTTTTCGGGGCCGCGACGGTTGAGTGCTGTGAAGTTGTTACCTCTGACTAAAAGCTTTGGACCCAACAACCTCCTGGCTTTTACGTGTAGAGCGCCCTTTGTCAGTCCGCTGGATGTTGTGGCCTCCTCCCCCTCTCGGAACTCGAGCCAAAGGCGTGAATGTCGGATGTAGAAAGTGAAGCCAAGGCGATCAAATCCTGAACAAATTTTCTCATGCGTTATTTAATAAAGCACTTCATTATGTTTGTTGTTTTTATAATGCTTATAAAAAGAAACTGTGTAAGTGTAACTGAATACACGACTTCCATCCCCCCCCCCTTCCCAAATGTTAATGTTCGCCTCGGCATTAATAAATCCTGCCAATTATGTACTTTGCGGTCTAGAGACCGTCAGAGTAAATCCGTGGGTTGCTTTCCTTTCGCGCCAGGTGAGAAAGCACCACGACAGAGCCGTCTCTTTAGCACGGTGCAAACTGGATACCTGCTTGGGGGTGGAAGGGGTAGAGGGTGGAGGGATGGTAGCAACGTCACCTCGGACTGTGGAAACCCACTTTGTGTATAAGTATCTGCAGCGCTAATGCCGTTTGTTCAGAGCGGGGGGCGATTTTTTTTTGTGCTCTTTGTCCCACGACGCCGCGGGCGGCTGTGGTCATCCTGTCGGTGCCGTGTAGCGCACGGGGAAGGCTGTGGGGAAGGAGGGAGGGGATGGCGGGTGGGGTGATCGGTTTTCACGATACGCGAACACCCCCCTCCTCTGCTCCCCGTCCCGTCACGGTGCTGTCTCATCCAGCGAGGCCTGTGTGGGTGCACGCGCGATCCGTTCGCTTGCTGAATGGAACGTTTAAGCGAGAACGCCCCGTTTGCGGCAATCGGCGTGCGACATCTCAAGTTTGTTTTTGGCTTTGATTGCGCGTGACAGAAACAGTGCCTCGGCATTGCCGTCCACTCGTAGACACGTTGAGTTTGGAAGCGGAGTTGACGTCGACTCGTTAAAAACCAAGTCGGCCACAGCTCCGGACAGTCGGGAATTTAGTTTGTTTGTTTGCGTGATAACATTAATTTTAATGCTTCCGTTTATTGTAACGTGTCAAAGCGAATGTGCGTTTGAGCTATGGTTCAGCCACTCGGATTGCTGCCACAGTAGGAGTAATCGTCAACGGCGTTCTGGGCTTGGAAGCCAGAGGTTGCCGATTCGATTCCATCCCCCCCCTCCGATGTTAGCAGTCGAAACAATGGCGCAAAGCTTCTTGAATCCCCACCACCACCAGCAGTGTTACCGGGTTCACCGCAGTTAGTGGACCGGCGAGCCGCGGGTGATGGGGTAAAGTGTGGGTACCTATCGCCTCTTCCACGGCGTCTGGCCCCCTCGAGGGAAGAGACCCCTTGCCACCAGCAGGGCCCGTGAGCGAGCGATTTCAGGGGCTGCGCCTTTCCCCACCTGCGACGCGGCTGCGGCACGAGCGGGCGGCGTTAGCTCGCCGTAAATCGCGACTTCAGTGTTTATGACGACGAGGAACACGCAAAAAAATTCCAACCCGAGCGTCGGTTACACACACTCCATGGAATGCGAGGGAATAATTTCCAGCATTGCTTTCGTAAGATGTCCGCTGGCTGTATATTTCAGAACCCGCTGCCAAAATGAGAAAGTTAAAGGTTACAGTAAACCTGGCGCGACCTCTCAATGACCCCAGGCTTTTATGGGCAGCAGTAAAAAAAAAGCAGACTCCTTTTCTTCCAGGCCAGAGAGAGGTGGGAGGTGGTGTGTGGGGGGGGGTGGGTGCCCGCGGTGATAAAGTCTCGGGGACAGGCTAATTGATGAGTCTGCTGACATAACAATGGCGACTGAAAGGCGAAACTTGTGAACTCTGCTCCCGGCTCAATGACAGCTCCTGGCCCAAGTCACAAGCGACGACGACGACGATGCCGTCGTGAGTGGCCTTCTCGCCTGTGACTTGTTTTTAAAAAGCGCGGCCGCCGTACAGTCGCCACTCCGCGATCACCGCGTAAACTCCGACGCACATGTTCCTGAGCACTACCGCCACCACCCCCCCACCCACACACCTACCCACACAACCACCCCCCCACACGCAAACCACCGAGTCCCTTCCCATTAGCCGAAACGGCGATGATGTCATTCGCTGACATTTTGACCCCGGCGGTCATTTATCTTGTGCTGTCAGTTCTGTTAGTGTTGTGTCTCGCAGACATCGGGAAGGGACAAAAGTATGCGAGGTCCCATTACGAAGGGCCAGTTAATGGGCGGTGTTTAAAATTCTTTTTCGTTCTCTCTCCTCTGCCCCTGCCCCCTGCTCCCCCGCGGCCCGCCTTCTCCGTTTACAGGTTCATTAACGCAAGACGCCGAATAGTACAGCCCATGATTGATCAGTCCAACCGAGCAGGCAAGTGTCGAACATTAACACTAATCGCGCCGCACATCTGAAAATAATAATCGGACGCCGAGCATGGTGGCGGGGCTGACGCTGAGGCGGGCCTCCGTCGCTAATTGCGCTCTAAATCCACGAGCCTCTCCGATGGATAATTTTTTTTTTGCGTCCGCACGCTAAACGCAATATTCGGGTAGCCAAATGTCTACATCTGCACGAGCGACAAAGAATACTTCGTTCGTTCGCTGGTGCAATTGAGGGGCACGCGGCGGATTTGTTGAGATTTGTTGATTTTTACCGCGGCGGATTTGTTGAGATTTGTTGATTTTTACCGCACTTGCTGAGGGCACACACGGAGCCACCAAAAGCCCAAAAATGTCAAACGGCCAGAAACAAATGTCAAAATATGCACACATGCTTGCATTTTTTTTTACTCAACATTTGCTCACGAGTAACCGTTCATATTGCCGATTTAAAACGTCGGCTGGGAACATCCTGTAAGAAACCTGCTGTCAGGGCCACGCGGTGTATGTGGCCTGTGTACCTAGTGCTATGTCCAACTGTTATTCACTCGATCTCTATGGCTATGAAAGATTGAAGAGCCATCCCCTTAACGGCACCCATTATATATGTTTCCTTTTCGGGCCGCAGTGTTGGAGTTCTCTGTCCCCGTGGTCGCGTGGATTTATCTCCGGGTCCTCCGGTTTTTCCCCCCTCCACATTGAGAAGCACTCTTTGGCCGCTGTACATTTCCACGCGATAAGCCACTTCAGTGGGCCTTACATGCTAAAAATTTTTTTTAACCAAATAGTTAATCGTTTAGTTTATCGAGGAACGCGTTGAGTACTCCTTACGTGTGCTCGTGCACCACTGCCAACGGGCAGCAACATCACGAAAAACATTCTGAGTTTGGAAGCGAGTTCAGGGTGGAACTGGCATGGTCAGTCACACACCGACCACCCGTGCGGTGCATTCACGCGCACACACGCACGGCTTCCCTTTGTGACGCAATACAATTAGACGTGCGGAATGTGGGCAAAGTGGCTTGAGAGTGATATTGAAATCATCCACCGACCCTGTGTAAGCCCCCCCTTAAAATTCTTAACGATCTTATATAGTCACGCAGTAAAACTTACGCGCTTAAAGTTAATTAACAGTAACGGGACGTCGTTGCCCGTTGGTTTCCATCAAAGGCTCCGCTTCTATCTTTGTCCTCTCATCCTATTCTACGAAACATTTTGACCGCCTCCCGTGGAAATATACCTTTATTAACGCACGCACGCATAAGGATGTTCGGGGCACGAGACGGCAATTATGAAAGGCGCTTGAACGCGATCGGGGCAAAGAATAAGCACCTAATTACACCGCGTGAATCCGAAATAGGGGTTAGAGGATTATTTCTTGGCCGCTGCCCAGCATTGTAAAGACCCAGATGACGGTTGGCCGAGTCACTTGGGAGGCGAGCGGTCGTACGCGCGGAGATAGGTGTAACGCACGCATTGCGTCCGTACGCTCCCGGTGATAATAACAACAAATGTATGATCACTCTCTGCATCCTTTACAAACAAGTGCAGGTTCAGGAAGGTGGAGGTTAGAGCGCCGAGCTGACACCGCTGAGACCCCTACCCTGGGTGCGGATTTGCAGGAGGAAGCCCTTAGTGGCTGTGTATTAAAACGGGTTTGTCGCGAGTTGATGGTCTCAGCTCGGCACCGCAAATGGCACCGCAATATTAAATGTGGTTCTGCACTTAATTTGGCTGAATTCCAGCTCTGACTATCGTGCCACGATGGAAAAGCGCTCTGCCCCCTCTAAACTGCGTGGGCCCAAATTCGTGCTTGAATGGATCTCAAAGGTAGTTCTGTGGTAGCCACTTCTGTGGACAGATTCACTCACACTGGTCTGCGAGAAATCCGAATGGCTAGTTCATCTCGTAACATGGCAGCGATATAACTGGATGAAAATATCTAAACACACTTTTGTATATTTGTTACCATTTAAATAAGTTCGGTCTAACGATGTGTGTCTGTGTGTGTGGTGCGGTGCCGGCCGTGCAGTGAGCCAGGGAGCCGGGTACAGCCCCGACGGGCAGCACCTGGGAGGCTTCGTGATGGACGGCCAGCAGCACATGGGCCTGCGTCCTCCCGGTAACGAGTGGCACAGCTCACTCCCGGGCACGTCGGCATGGCACTCTAAACACACCGGCCAAAGGGCTGCGGCAATCCCTCCTGTCCGCCCGTCCGTCCGTCCACTCGTTCGTCCATCCGTTTGTTTATTCCTCTGCCGTGTACCTGTTTGACATCGGGCACGGCGGTGGCGAGATGTTAACTACCTCACCTGGCACACAGGAGGTCGTGGGTTCCATCCCGAACCTGAGGCCTGTTGTATATTTGGAGTTTGAGCGTTCTCCCCGTGGTCGCGTGGATTTTGCTCCAGGTCCTCGGGTTTTTTTCCCCTCCACATTGAGAAATAACGTGCGTTCATAGTATTTGGCTGCAAAAAATTCGCACATGATGATGAGCCACTTAGTTGAGCTATCATTTGTGGCCAGGTCACTTGGGAAAGAGAGCTCTATAGCTCAGTGAGCCTTACCTGGTAAAATAAAAATAATATTTTAGTTTAGTTTTAAAGGGCATCAAGTTTTAACGGGTCAACCGGTGCGTACCGCAAATTGTGCACAGGTTTTAGTGAGTGACGATTCACCCCGAGCCTCGAGATTCATTGTCACGATTCGGTGTCACGATGCGATCCATCATTCGACGCTCTCTCTACTCGATTTTACACCATCCCGTTTGAATTGTTTGTGCAAGTTCTGTCAGAATGCGTGAAATGGCACGCTGTTTGTGATACATCGCCGACGAAATAATTTATATACTGTCGAAATACAACCACAACTCAGGACGCTGGCCCTAAAATTGTGGGTGTGTGCATCACAGGGGTTAAAGGGGGGGGGCGGGGGCACGTTTATGCTCTTTGTTTAAATCCGGCGCGATTGGAAATCATTCTACATGCTTGTAAGGCGATGTAAAGCAACTAAATTACAAAGGGTTTAAATTTCACATTGAACATGTTGCGGTAAGCGCTCTCAATTTCCCACTATTTGTATGAATCACAAATATTAGATTTTTATTTTACACGTACGAATCAATTCAATGTATTACAAATCGTAAGAATAATACAAATTCTAACTCGCAACGCTCCGCCGTCGCACGCGCCGTTCGTTCGCTCGCTCTCATAAAGAGGGGACGACTCGGAGAAAGGACGACTCGGAGAGAGAGGATGACTCAGAGAGTGAGAGAGGACGACTCAGAGAGAGAGGGGAGGACTCAGAGGCGCCAGGAAGGAGGAACCACAGACGAGTGGGAAGGCAGCAGCAGCCACGCGGCGAGCTGGCACAACCAACAATTGGCCATGCTCTGCGGACCCATAAACATTAAGATGTTTTGCGGCAGTTAATGAGTGTTTAAGAATGTTTTTATTATTATTATCGTTAATAAAGCGATGCTTTGATGTGTTGTTACAAGCCCTGTGTGGTTGGTGTCATTGCAGGGCCGATGGGTGGCATGGGCATGAACATGGGCATGGAGGGCCAGTGGCACTACATGTAGAGTGCCCCCCTTCGCGGCGACAAGGAGCACAGCCAGGTACCGCGCGACGGTTCTCCGTTATATATTTTATTTATTTCTCTTCTGAATTGTATCTCTGTGCGTTTTTGTACGTATGCACGTTGAACTTCGTTTCGCACCGTACATAGCCAACCGTGCTAATCGGCGGTACGGGGGAAGGACAATAAACTAAGCACAAAAAGCAGTTGAAAGAAATGGGTTTTCAACCCAGGTGATTTAAAAGTGCCATAGCACTATTGAAATGAAGTCACGGACGATCAAATAAAGTCGCGGGCGTTGGAGAATGGCCACGGAAGTTGATGTCGCAGAACTATTTTTTAATTCACTTTATTTTTTATGCCCTACCAAACAGTGTTCGTCACATGTCAATAAAACTTAAAATGCTTGAATTTAGTTCAAATAAGTGGAAAATTAATAATAATTTAAATGACTTATTTGTCCAGGAGAGCCGCACCGAGTTCTCAGACTTTTATTTTCAGGAGGATCTTGCATTGGAATTTTATTTCACGATGGTTTCAGCCAATTAGTGATTTGCGTGGGGGGAAACCGGAGCACCTGGGGAAAACCCACGCCTTGCGCGAAGCAGATGGCTAGCCATTAGTCCACTTGCTCTACTGCCTTCTCCTGGCGAGCCAGGTTAAGGCACCTCCTGGACAACCATGGGAAGGGGAGTTTCACAACAGAATTTGTGTGCGGTGGTCCACCAAGCCTCACTGCTGCCTCCACAGCGTTGGGTTACAGGCAGCCACATGCAGCAGCGTAGCCACCACGGCCCCGGCTCAAACAACTTCAAATTCTAGCGCCGTAATAGTCACCTCCTGCACCCCCCTCATGCCATTTCTCTGTGTAAAGGAAACTTAACTTAACTCAACTATTTTTTAGTTTACCAGGTAAAGCCCCACTGGCTTTCTTTCAGAAGCAGACCTGGCTGTCACAAATGATGGCTCAACGAAGTGGCTTACCGTCGTGTGGAAATTTATGGTAGCAGCTAAATACTCGAAACGCGCGATGTTGATTCTGAATGGGGAGGGAAAAACCGAAGGACCCGGAGCAAAAAATCCACACAACTACTCGGAGAACATGCACACTCCAAATATACAGCAGGCGTCAAGGTCGGGATCGAACCCACAACATCCCGTATCAATCACCTCCTGGAGGAAGGCCTTCCCAAGCCGCCGCAATCCCCCGTGATCCCGCAATATGGCAATCCATCTGGCACCTCGCTCTGTCTCCACCATCGACGTTGCGTGCGCGTCCCTTCCCGTGACGCGCACGCAACGGCAATTGTCAACAATCTACTCCGGCGCTCACAGTTCGATGCACGTATCACGAGCGTAGGGAATTCGGATTATAACCGATGGACAAATAAAAAAACTAACTCGAATTGTCCCGTTCCAGCGATGTGCGCCTTCCCGATGCCCCCCCCCACCTCCCCCTCACTAAGCCCCGTCGGGTCATCGGGAGGTGCGTTACGAAGGCGCGCATTGACGCGCGGGGGGAGGGGGGCTCGCCCTTGGGGATACCAGTTTTAATCGCTTCCAGTGGGTGACAAGAACAACAACAACCACCAAAAACCTTCGCGGCTATTGAGACGACCGCGAGGCTGCTGCGGCGATTCTGCGGTGACGGTAGCGGTGGCGGTGACGGTAGCGGTGGCGGTGACGGTCGCGGTGGCGGTGACGGTAGCGGTGGCGGTGACGGTAGCGGTGGCGGTGACGGTAGCGGTGGCGGTGACGGTAGCGGTGGCGGTGACGGTAGCGGTGACGGTAGCGGTGACGGTAGCGGCGGCGGTGACGGTAGCGGTGGCGGTGACGGTAGCGGTGGCGGTAGCGGTGGCGGTGACGGTAGCGGTGACGGTAGCGGTGACGGTAGCGGCGGCGGTGACGGTAGCGGTGGCGGTAGCGGTGGCGGTAGCGGTGACGGTAGCGGTGACGGTAGCGGTGACGGTAGCGGCGGCGGTGACGGTAGCGGTGGCGGTAGCGGTGACGGTAGCGGTGGCGGCGGCGACTCCGCGCTCTCGCTCGGCGGGTTTCGTCGGCGGACGGCAACAAACAAATGTGGCGCAGCGTGGCATACGCTTTAGCGGCGGGCCCCCGCCATTCTTCTCCGTTATGTCCATAATCAACTGATTGTTTGATTCAATAATTATTTAACGGGGCCTTGTTTGAAGCTAAACATAGTGCTCCATAAAGCCTATAATGGTTCTGAAGGGAGGGAGGAGGGGGGGGGGCCCTTCACACCGAGGGAGGGTTTGAGAGAAGGTGGGGGGGGGGGGGGCGGGCGGTGGGGAGGGGGGCACCGTGTTGCCTTGGCAACCGCATGTATTAGAGGCGAGAGAAGAAAGAGCTTGTCCCAAACGTGCCTTAAATCTGTCGTCCGGCCTGTGATGCATTGCTTCTATTACCGGATAATACGGGCAGCCCAGACAAACTCCTGGGTAAACACACAATGCGCGGCGCCCAGCTAGGGGCGTAATCCTTTTGCAAAATGGCCCTGCATGTAATTTTGTATTCTTTGCTCGTTAATTAAAATAGAGGGGCTTGCGTCGGCAGCGGAGGAGTGAGTGGGAAGGAGGAGGAGGAGGGAGGAGGAGGAGGGGCAGTTTGCGCGGAAGGCCGGGGCTTGCCGCTGCCTGCCGTTGCGAAGGGAGAGAGGAGAGAAGTGCGCGCGGTTTTGTAGCTAATTGGCTCCGTCTTAATTAAATATTCCATCAAGATGCGGGGGTGACAAATGGGTTTGGCTTTTCGAGTCAGCGAAAAATGGATGAATATTAATGCGCGTCGGGCACGCGAGACCGCTTGCGCCTTCGCGTAGTGGTGGTGGAGGTCTCGTGGGTGCCTCGTGAGTATTTGCATTAAAAAGTACCGGCTTAAGTGTTTCTTTTTTTTTGAATGATCCGCATCTCGAGCTCATTGATTAATGGGAGTGAAGTTTTGCCCTCTCGCTTTTGCGACGTTCTGAAAAAAAAAAACATTTTGGGGAGGGGGGGGGGCGGTTTAGGAAATGTTCCGCAACTGTCGCCGCTTCTCGACGAGGTACAGGAATGGCTTCAAAAAAGCTGTCGCGTTATCGAGAGCAGATGATTTCGTTTGCTCTATGTGTACGTCTACTCCATAAAACCGAGCCGCTTATTTAAAAGGCTGGATTATGATGATAGCAGAAAGGTTGTTGATGCGCTATAATACTCCTTGCGTGAATAAAAACATTCGAATGAAAATATAATTTTCAAAAAATGATGGATTTGCCCTTTGCGTTGCAACACATTCCCTTCTGGGCCATGCAAAGACTCAATAGATTTTAAATATTTCAAGGGACTGGTTGAGCTTTGGAGTTTGCAGAGGCTCTGCTGAGCTGTGTTCTCAAGTTAAATATGAGCTCCGATGGGCGATTTCAGCTCGAAGGGAGGAACTCGTCTGGCCCTGTGTCTTATTAACGTGCCGATCGCGTTTTTTTTTCTTTCCCTTGGCCGCTTTTATACCAAAAGTATACGATGTGGAGAGCCTTGCATCATCCTGGCTCATTTTTCAACACTTTTTCCTTAAGCCGTGCAGAAAATCGCAATTTGTAGGCCCTCAAAAAAAAAAATAGACATTAAAAATCTGAATCTGCAAAAGTGTTAACTCGGTAAGGACGTGCTGATTGCGAGTCCATCGGCCAGGGGGCCGTTTTTAGACGGCTGCGCATTTTCGCGATGCTTATAAGGAAAACAATTTGGGACAGCGGTTGTTAATTAAGGAGTTTCGGCATAAATCTTTGCGAGAGTGGCTCGTAAATCACGCCCGCACCAGGTCACACATGTGGACGTTATTATTTTCGCAGATCCTTCAAGGTTTTCTCAAGGACCGGGCGTGGAGAATTCGCAGGCGCCCGGCTTCTTCCCAACCCCATCCAGCCAACGGCTCGCGGATCGGGGAGAAAGGGAGTGGGGAGGGTCGCACCTCCGCGATGCGGGACCTGTCATCGACGGGACGCGGTGTACAACCGCCGTCTCGTTTCGTTTCTGCTTCTCGCTGCAGCCCACGTTGGTGGTGGTGGGTGGTGGTGGTGGTGGTGGGGGGGGGGCGGTGTGTGTCTCATCATCCTCCAGCTTCCTCGTACTCCCAGCCAACCTCAAACCAACAACGACAAACGGGGGGGGGGGAACCTTGGCCATCGTCTTCGCGTTCGGAGCCTCGGCGTGTCTGGATGGATTTGTCGCAGTGGCGTTGCTGCGCTGTCGCGTCAGGGTGGAATCTTTCTAAGCGGTAACGGTGAACTCGGAGGGGCGTGGACTTCTTCGATGTGATTCGCCGACGAGGAGAGCAGAGGAACTGGAACTTTGGGCACCGTCCAAGGACCAACTCAGTCCTCCTACTTGCACGTCGGAATAATAACACAAACAAAAAACCGCCACAACTTTTTTGTTTTTTTTTTAAAACGTGTATCTACAGAAATGACTTTTAAGGGGTTTTTTTTTTTGGGGGGGGGGGGGGAAGGACATTGTTTTACTACTGTATGATGTCATAAAGAGATGTTGTATAGCCTACTGATCGGTAGTCCATATTATCTTCTCGTCAGATTTTTTTAAAAGGAAAACAAAGATATTTGTTTCCACACTGTGTGTGTTGCTGTGACATTGCCCCGTACCCCCCCCCCCCTCCATAACAACCGAGAGAGAGAAATTGTTGTAATATACAAGTTAATGTCACTTTAGTAATGAAGAGAGAGAGAGAGAGAAAGATGGAAGAGTGTTTTTTTTTGTTTGTTAATAGCATGCTTCTTAAACAGTTACGTAGGGATGTGTTGTCTAGTTAAATTATTTCTTAGTTAAAGAAACAAAAAAAAGCCGTGTACAAAATGTAAAACTGCATTGGAGTGAGTCTGCTGTCGCTGGTGAAAGATTTTTTTTTTTTTACCGCTCAGACCTCCCACTTAGCCTTGCTACCTATCTGATCCTTTTGCACACTACCAACGTATCCGAGGGATGGTGTTGTTCTACTTGTTGACGCTTCCAACCGAATTCCCAGCCTGCTGTGAATTGCGTTTGCGTGTGTTTGTGTGTGTGTGTGGTGGGTTTTCCTTTTTTGTGTTTTTAAATTTACAACGCGTTTTCGGAGAAAGGCGACACGGGGGGCTGCGGCGTTGCGCAGCGGCGGCGATTAAGCGTCGGGGCACCTGGTGCAAGAAATGCAAATTGGGGGCCTCAAGTTCCTGAGTTTTGCCCCCCCCGCTCCGATCCCTGTGGCCACCAGGGCCCCCTGGTGCAGTTGCACCGCCTGCACGCCCAGTAGCTACGCCGCCGGCTGTGCGTGCGTCGCACCTGCAGGTTCCTCGAGAAGTCATCGGTCGCCAAAAAGCTCCTGCAAACTTCACGACCTCGCAGATTTGCAAAAAAATGTCGATATTTTTTTAGAATGAGAAACTTTGGCAAAAATTAAACCGTGCAATTATTTTTGCAAACATTTCTACGGTGAGCGATGGCAAGGTACAAAATAAAAAGGGTGGTAGGAAGAGGAGAGAGTCTCGTTGAAAAGGTGTACCCTAGGAGACTTTAAGTGCCTTCTTGCCATGAAGTTCACCCTTCATCGCAAGAAGGCATTTTCCTGTGGCTCCGTGTTGGTCCACGGACCAGGGGAGACATTGGTACCAGCTGAGATGGCACAACTTACAATGTATGTTTGAATGTGGAACTTGTTTGTGCCGTACGTAGCCAACCGTGCTAATTGGAGGTGCGGTGGAAGGACAACAAACTTAACACAAAAAGCAGTTCTAAAGAAATGAGTTTTCAATCCGAACTTAAAAGTGCATAAAATTATTATTATCATCATAAGCGTCATCCATCAACAATGTAAGCCATTGTCCATCAACTCCTGGATGAAAGCCCCTGCCCAAGCTCTCATCTCAGGCTGCTGCGCGCTCGCCGATTTCATTGCCGCGGACGTCATATAACATTTCTCGAATTGGCCGCTAAAAGTTAATTAATGTGTGACGCCCATTCCAAATGCTTGTGCGTCCAAATGTGAATCCATCGCCGTGTCGACCTTTTCAAACACGCAACTAGCTTTTTTGCAGTGTCAGATGGTACCAATGGGTGAAATGAATATCTCGTCCGGGCTCACGCGTTCTCCAAACTGCCCGCCAAACTTATCTGCGTGCGTCACCGCGTGCTCCCAACGAGCTCCCGGTGTAGTCCGTCCACCAAGTGTATCGCGTACACACACACACACACACCTTGAGTTCACGCCAACTTATTTACAGGTGCACCCGAAATGCGGCAGACGCACCCCCGCCACTTGTGCGGCGGTGTAAGCAGAGCCGAGGGGTCTACTGCGTTACTGAATGTGGTGTGCCGGGCGTGCGAAATATGTTGCAGGTCTGCGGACCCAGACAAACAATTGGCTGAAATTGGGTCATGGGTCTAAAGCTATGGGATGTACTCGGCTCCCATGCGTGTGCTGTAGGGTGGTGGTGGAGTGCGGTGGACATGGGTCCCTGCTGCAAAGAATGAAACGCGATCCCCTCGTCCACACCCTGTTAAAAATTTCCGCCACGCCTCTCCGTAGCCCAGGGGCACCTGGCGGGCCCTGGTGGCAGTTACACCGCCTGCACACCGGCGGCCACCCGCCACCGGTGTTGATGTTCTGACAACGTAGTCTTGTAGCGCTACCACAGGTATCGCCACGTGTACCCCCCCCCCCCCCACTATGCGCAATGTGGTTGCCGCATCATAGGCTTGGCTGGCGATTATTATATATTTTTTTGGTGTCTGTGTAACACAGTGCGTGTGCCTCCCTCCCTCCCGTGGGTCTCTGCAGAGACAAAGAAACGTGGCCAATGTGGAATTCAAGATCTCCTCTTAACCCCCCCTCGCAGCAACCAGGACCCCCCCCTACCCCCCACCACTACCCCCCACCACTACCCCCCACCACTACCCCCCCCCCCACTACAACCCCACTACCCCGTGCAGTGAAACGATCGTTTTGGAGAACATCTCTTTTCTTTGTAATCGTCGTTTTTATAAAGAAGACTCAACTTGCACATGTGCATACTCACATTTCCAGTTTTCTATAGGTCTCCCGAGATAACACCTTTACTAAATTTGTCCGTCTTACAGCAAACTTTGGACATGTACAGCAATGTAAATTGAACTTGATTTAATAAACGTATTTTGTTCTATGAATGCCGATCCAATGTGCTCATTTATGACGCTGCCGATCAGTGGGAGACGCTCACAACCGAGGTAAGAGCATGTGACCAAATCACTCTTATCTCTGCTGTCACATCTCGGATGCTATCAGAATTATAATCTTTATTTGTCCTGGATAAATCACGTGAGCCACGAAGCTCTTTTCCTTACAGATGTCCAGTAAGTTGGGGGGGGGGGGGGGGTCAGAAAGTTACGACGACGAACGATACAAAAAAAAAACACGAAATTAGTGCAAAATATTGGAGAGGTAAACAAGTTACTAACAAAAAGAAAATTTAAAGTTTTTACAAGTTCAAATTGCATAAGTGCACCAATACACAAGCTTGGGCAAGACAACGGAACAACAGTAAGAACAATTCTAGATTTAAAGCTTTCGTGACTGCTAGGATCCATACTCTTTGGTTCTATTGGGTAAAGTCACGTAGGTGAAAATAAAATAACAAAAAATAACAAAAAATCACGACTGTCCAGACAGTCTCGTCCCTTCACCTGATGAAGGCCGCTTGTGTTGTGGCCGAAACGTCGTGATTTTTTGTTATTTTTTGTTATTTTATTTTCACCTACGTGACTTTACCCAATAGAACCAAAGAGTAACAGCAAGAACAGTCCCAGACAACACCAAGACAACGACATCACAGTCCCTCAATAAAATTGCACATTAAAATGTAACTATCGATACATATCGATAAGGATGAAAGTTACAAATTGCGGCTGTATGCATCCAGCGCTAATCGTCTGCTTCAGGATATTTTTTAGGGAAATTTTACAAAGTCGGAGGTGCTGCTGCAAACAGCAAAGACTTTGTCCGCAGGGTTTTAGTTAGGATGACAACTTGCATGGGGTGACCTGACGAAGCGTGCATAACCCCCAGGTGCTATGAGCTTCGGGGATAATGTGGCGCACAGCATCGGGAAGCATGCCCCCAAAATCTCGAGTTGTAACGCACTCGTCAGTATCTCTCTTTTTTTAATCATAGTTATTCATTTTATTGGGATGTCCAGTTGAGCCGTCGACATTGTTATTTATCAGCTTTCTATTTCGCTTAGATGTTATCTCTCTCTCTGGGCGAGTGCGGTTCCGTTTGTGTTTGCGGCGCTTTGAGATACTTCAATATGAAATGAGCTTTCTAAAGTGGAGGTTATTATTACAGCATCACGACTTGTCTGGCCCAATGACTGCGTCTGGCCCCGCCCTCCCCGCCTTTACCAGCCTGTACTGCAGCAGTTTGGTGAAGTATGGTTAAACTCTCCCCTATTAACTCAAACGGCATGGGGGGGGGGAGCAGTGGATGTTTTCGATAAAAAGGGCCGTGCATGCACAGTCACTTACATTTCACATGTTTAAGCAAGGCCAGAAGGAGGCATCAATGATATAAACATGTATTTAGAACAATCTTCAACAGTTAAAAATCCAATGTAAAATTATACATCGTGAGCAAAGAAAAAACACGGCATTCAATTAAAATAACATTATACACGCAACACCAACTTCATAAGGTGGACAGCTACGGGTACAATGCGGGTTACCATTAGTTCAGATGTATGTACATGAAACTGTTAATTACAATAACTATTAAAACTTCACTTACAAGCCTGTCTCAATCCACTGCTGGATGATGGCCCTCCCCACACCGTGTCGGTTACGGGCTTTTTAGCCATACTTCACCGCGCTGGTCAGTACGAGTCGGTGAAATGAGAGGAGGGGGACTAGAAGTGAGGAGGCTGGGTTCTTTAAGCGACACTTCAACCATAATGAGTGAATAATAACAACAACAGCTCATTAATTGCAATGCAAGGATGATGACACCGGCCATAACGCCGCGAGTGCATCGTTATTACGATCCGTGATCAGCGAGGCTGAAGGCCATGCAAAGACCTGCGCTCCGCAAAAGGTGAAGTATGGTCAAACGCCCCCAACCCCCTTCCCAACCCACCCCCAATGACCACCGATGCGGCGTGGGGAGGCCCTCATCCAGCAGTGGATTAACACAACGGCAGTGCCGTAACGGCATCCGGGCCACTGGGTCTGCTCAGAGGCTTGGGAGTGTTGCTGATTATTATTAAAAAGGGGATACAAAGACGGAGGGGGGGGGGGAGACCACACGAGGTCGCCGTGGGGAGCGCGTCAGTTGACAATTGTGTGTTATTGTCACGTCAACTCTGTTGTTGATGCGCAAGCCTAATTATGTTATTTGTGAACAAACGAACGCTTTCGTTGAGATGTAAAAAAAAAATTACGAACATATATACCTACTGCACAAGTTGAATCACTTACGGTCGTGGCGCTCATACGAATACCCCGCAATGCACTTGCAGAATCACCATAGCGATTTAAATACACAGCACTGTATGTCTTTAATTAATCATTAAATAATGAATTTAAGTAAGGGCAGTAACAACTGACTGTTTTGTAACGGTGAACTCTCTTTTAAGCGGAGAGCGGATGTGTGTTTAGCTAAGGTGCGTCCCGTGCGTGTGTGTATGTTGAGCGAAGAGTGGTTGTGCAGTGGTTAGCGCACTTCGATAGGAACCCGAGTTTGGTTTCCCACGACGAATATCTGAAACCAATTACGGACCTCCGCTAGGTCGACTCAGCCTTAAATCAGTACCTATTGCGGTATGCAAAAAAACAACACACGTCAGCACTGTGGGGGGAGACAAAGGCGGCCGGGCGTGGTGCTGGCTACATCTTCTCGTGCGCCACGCCGAACCTTAATAGGTGCTCGCTAACAGCACTTGCCCCAACAGCGTGTGTAGGCTACACGGTTGGGTATGAAGGCTTCACGGTTGGGTATGAAGAGGGGGGAGGGGGGATAGATGCTGTTTTCATTTGAGCGAAGGCCGCATCCCGTTGGGTCGGAATCGAACGTCCCGCTTCCCACCCCCCCATCTGTGGAGAGCAAGCCAAGCGAGCAAGCTGCGCTGCTCAACAGCCACCCCCGGGCAAGCTGAACGGCAACGCCGGCGTGCCGCTGCAAAGCACAGCGAACGATCCTCCCCCCTGTCTCTCCGTTGTCGCGATGGGGAATGCGCGCGCGCGCGTGCGTGAGTGTTGTCGCGCACGTGGTCGGCGTCACCGACCACGCTTGCTTCATCCCAATGAACTCATTTGACAAAAAAAAATAAAAGCATAAATTATTTTCCTGATGCTGCTGTTGCGTTGGCAGCGGAAGCACAAGTCACAGCGACAAACAATTAACACGCTTAACACGTTTGTCAATAGCGTCAGCGAGATCATCTCTCTGCTATGAAGAAGCGGGGCATTACTCGAAACGTCGCGTCTTACTCTTATTATTATTTTTTGTTTTCTTTTAGAGCAGTGTTTGTTGACGCACGCGTTTCCAAACTACTCTCGCACCCTTTTGGAAAAGTCCAAGGCGGCGAGTGTCGGTCTCTCTCTCTCTCTATCCGTCTCTCTCTCTCTCCGCTGTTGCAGCCGAGAAGAAGGTGGTGGTGGTGGTGGTTTAAGCCGTAAGAAGACGGCACCTCGCTTCTCGACACAATTGGACAGGTTTATGATAGCTGTGATTAATGCGCGGGTAAAAAAAGGGGGGCCTCCTAAACACCTCCACAGTGAACACGCACACACATACACACACACACACAACGCGCGCGTGCGTGTCCCGTCCAAACCCCACAGCGGCGCTCGCTCTGGGTCCTTTTGCCCGACACGGCGCTCCCGGTTGTGCCGACGCAGCGAGGCAGCGATCGGCTCAAGGGGGCACAGGCGATTCTCCAACGGGCTCGCACGGCAAGAAGGAGGTTTGCGTGGTCCGCTTTGTGTACGGGGCGGGCGGGAGTGTGGAGGTGGTTTTGTCGGTTTGTTTGTTAATACCTAAATGTGTGCCTAACGTTTATATCCACCCACCTAAGACATCGGCTTTTGTGAAAGAGTTGGAGTGGGGGGGGGGGGAGGAAGGGAGCTTCGATGCGTCTGCGTGGCAGCCGAGCGGAGACCGAAGGGGGCGCGAAGGTAATGGATGCTGTGGACCGGTCGGGGGCTACGGCTGGACGGACACCCCGCGTCCACATTCTTGAGGGTTGAGAACGGCGACGGAGGCTCTGTCGTTGCCCCCGCCGACTCGCGTTCTTTAATACAAAACTAAAAACGCAAATTTGGGGTTATTCGTCGTTTACGAATACAAAATAATGATGCGCGTTTATGTGATTGCGCGGGTGGTGATGGTCATGATGATGATCTGACTGCTGCGGGTGGTATGAATGGCGTGTGCGTGACTGTGTATTTTGTTGCGAGAGCTCTAGTTGGATGGCGGTGGTATTAATTTTAACGTGACTAACACCACCACCACCACCACCATCACGTCCGTTTTACACATCGATAGTATCTAACGCGTAAAAGATAACGCGCGTTGCTTTTGCGCAATTAAAGTTACCCTCGTGCAAAACATCGTTTTGTCGTTCCCCCGGCATCTCAGATAAGCACGGTTGACTACGTACGGCGCGAAGAAAGTTCAACGTACACGTATCAAAATAAGCTTTTTACACGAATAAATGTTGGTTTAAAATATGCTCACATTTACATCGACGCTTAGATGATTGATAGCCTGCGAAATCACGCTTACGAAATATTATCAGAGTCAAAATGTAAGGTGTATTTTACTACACGGCTTCAAATAACGTTTTTTTTTTAAATTATCCTATTTTAAATGTGTCTTCCATCTCACAATTTTTTTTTTAAACAAAAATACTGCGAACAGCCCCCGTGGTTTGATGGATTGATTGGCGCGCGCTCAGAACACGGCGAAGACTTCATGAGAAGAGGTCTCGGACACTCCGCGCCAAGTCCGCGGCGTTGCGGATGGGCTGTCTCACAGTCTGCGGAGGATAATAAATACTGTCATAAGTAGCGGACGTAGACATCGGCAGCAGCGGGGAAGCTCCACAGTCGATTCATACAATTTTCTGCGTAACAGAGAGAGAGAGGGAAAAAAATCACCGCACACACCACGCCGC